TCTGGACTATATATTCTATCATTCCACCACTGTTTGTCATCGCGTCATTTGTCTTCCTTGTCTTTCCTGCTGCCATGTTTTCAGTAAGTCTAGTATTCGAGTTTTGATTCCTGAGCCCTATCTCTGTTTTATGTTTCTTGTTTTGTTGTTTATTTGTACTTTGAACACCTTGTTTCTCTGTTGATGCGCACTGTAAATAAATTGCACTTGGATCCGTACCTTTTTGTTTCCGTTTCAATCACGCAAACGTGACCCGCTCGCTCAGCAGCCACATTTTAATAAAAACTACATCGCTTCATACCAAACTTTTTTTTTTTTTGAAACATTATTGACAATGGTGTTCGATCAATATCGATATCGATTTAAACGCCCAATCCTACGATAATGTAACAAATGTGTGAAAATATCTGGTTTTAAAAGGCACATGGATTCATTACATGCACTTTTAAGGTTTAATCACTTAACAGCAGGGGTGTAATGAATAAGAGTGCAAAAAATATTGTTGCATCATGATTCTTTCTCCAATGATTTTGAATCGATTCCTAAAAGTTATGAATCGATGCTGTATTTGACTTAGCTGGCGACAATGCGAGCCTGCATGAAAATAAGCATTAACCTGAAAAAATAATAAGCGTTAACAGGCACACATGCTTTTGCTTACATATTCGCTTAATGGATAATTACAGGCGGAGAGTGGCACTTCTGATGCATTGTGTGACCAGCTTTAGGACACGGTTCAAATTCCTTCCTCAACCGAAAGTGAAACCTCGGGTCGTCATATGGTAATAACGCAGTGCTGCACTGCGTGACTTTTCTGTTGTGCCAGCATTTTAAATCATAAAGGAGTCAGGTGACATGATGCATGGACACTGACTACAGAATTGGCACCATTACGGCACACTCCATTGTAGCACGTCATGATTTTGCCAAGCACTATGTGATCCTGGATTAACATCTATGTTGATCCTGGAGCATCATATTTTTCAAAAATATAATCCATACCTATTCCCTACCCCTAAACCCAACCATAGCTGTAAATTATTTCCGAAATTCAGAGGGGAATAATAGTTGCATTACAATCATGCAGAAGTGCATAAACATAACCATAAACCTAAACTTAACATAAACAAAAAATGAATCCCTTAATTGTGATTGGCTGATTGGAATCTTGTTCCTGGATCAACATAGATGTTAATCCAGGAACATGTCCTACCTGGTAAAATCAGGTTAGGGATTCATTACGCATGAAGGATGCTGGCTTATTCTGCAATGTGAATGATTGTTGGAATTGAAAGTGAACTGTAGGCCTACTGCACACAGTAGTGTTGCAAACACGAAACATTGCTTTATATTAAACAGCTTGTTTCATGCTTTAAGAATACTAATATCTTGCAAAACTACTAGTAAAATATTATTTACTGTTATCATGGTAAATCTACATATTAAATCTTGATAAGTGTTTTGTTGCACTCCTACTTTACAGGGTCGCAATGATTGACTTTGTCAGTGTCTCTCATGACAACTTTGAATGAAGCAACCTTGTGTTTACCACATTTGTTGTGTATTTGAACTGAAACTGTGCTTGATGTTCGTTCATCCACCCTTTGCGGCTACAACAGCTTCAATTCATCTGGAAAGACTTTTCCACAAGGTTTAGGAGTGTTTTATGAGAATTTTTTTTAAAACAAGGTCTTAAAGGTGTTCAAACGTGTTCATTCAGGTTGAGGTCAGGACTCTGTGTTGGCCAGTCAAGTTGCTTCATACCAAACTGGCTCATCCTTTTCTTTATGGACCTTGCTTTGTGAACAGGAAGCGACCTTTATCTAAATTGTTCCCACTAAGTTAGGAGGATGAAATTGAGCAAATTGTCTGATAGGGCTGCACAATTAATCAAAGGAGATTTTCATGTGCAGTTCTGTAATCAGCAGTAAGGAGGAAAATTAACTACACAGAGCCATAGTCCACTGACAAGCTTCACACAAAATCATGGATGATTTAATCGCTGCAATTCTGAAATCGAAGATAATCATCTTGTGATTTGAAAGCTGTTGTGTCACATCTCAGTGAACTATGGCTCTGTGTTGCTGCTGATTTAAAAGCACATAAGAATACCACATTTACAGTAATAGCATATTTACTTCAAACTCAATTCATAACTTCTGCCGAGTTTGAAATAAATTGTTAAATGAGATGATTCTACTGTTGTGTGCTTATTAGTCTTGCTTAATCAGTAAAATCAGTTAAATATTGTGCACTTTTTGATTTTGTTTCCACATATGAGTTATTATGAGAGTTACTACTGAATACAGAGCTATGTTTCTCTGGCAAGATGTGCATGAGAATTGCTGAATTGCGGTCTTTATTTAATTTCAATTTATCATTGACGATGGCATTGTCATTATGTGAAAAGTGTGGGAGGGGTGTTTGATAGAGTGCACGACGTGTCCGAAGAGCGAGGAGGGATCCGGGGGTGAGAAGGGTGCGCGACTTATTTGAGGACATGGAGGGAGACGTGCGATTTCCGGGAAATTGTCACTCGTTTGCAGGCATTATGAGTCCCGCAAATGCATAGAGACTCCCGGAAATTCTGGGTGACTTGGGATGTCTGAATATCACATTTAACAATTATAGTGAGACGCAATCCAGCGGTACATTCTTGATAAACTGTCCGCTGCTCTCTGGAGCTCAGAGGAGCGGATGACAGTGTGTGGCTGTGTGTGTGTGTGGCTGTGTGTGTGCATGGCTGTGTCTGTGTGTCTGTGGTCATGTGATGTGCGTTTCTAGCGGATGGAGGGTGTTCAGAAATGCTAGGTAAAACACGGTGTGGATGTGGATCGTTTTGGTTCTAAAATGCCATTTTAATACTAAGACGTACTAGTGCTAAGGGGGCCTGAATGTGTATTTTTCACGAGCGAGTTTGTGACGGGGACCGAGCGGAGGATCGGCGGTGCTGGCTCAGCCATCGTGTTGTCTATTGGCCATCGGCGATGGACGATTGCATCATCTATCGCCCCAACCCTAAATCATGCAACCATGATGTCTGCTTTGCTGTAGCATTAAGTGTGTACTCACACTAGGCTATCTTAACCGTGCCCAAGCACGTTTGACCCCCATTTCCCTGGTTCATTTGACAAGTGTGAGTGGTTCGAATCAGGCTCAGGCATGGTTCAGTTGGGCGGCATTTGCTCAGCAAACCTCCTAATACATGCAGCACGATGGCTTTGATGAACATTTAATGGGGCTCAACAATAAAGACTGCCCGATGGCCCGGGGCCAGTGTGAGAGATGTTCGGGACAGTAGAGAGAATCGTTACTGACCCGATCAGGCCAGTGCTGCCTTGCTTGTCACAAAATTTTAATTTGCCTGCAACTATTTGTCAATTGTGTGCAAATACAGTCTTCGAATCGAGAAACAATTTGTGCAATTGAAAGTCTTTGAATGCTACCTTTTTTTGTGAAGTAAGAAACACCATATTGCTTTTTGGTTCCTTTTATCTGATTGGATGTACTGGTAAAAACCAGTACAGTGAAGAGACGGCAACATCAAATTATGAGACTTAAAGAAAACGTCTGTTTCTAACATTGTGGACAAATATATTTACATCGGTACAAGATGGAAAAAAATTGAAGTGATGTTTTGCTTAGTTTTCCGTCACATTTAAGCCTTTTCTTTTGCAATAAAATACCTGCACATCTTTCATACTGCTGTATTTTACTGCAAAATATTTCAACATTTTTAAAATATTTAAATTCTAGATTTACAGACATTATTTTTGACATTATTTAAAATATGTGGCTAAGAAGTAGCTATTTTTATTTATTTATTGATTTATCTGGGTGGGGCCAGTGAACATTTTGGCAGGGCTAGTAAAAATTTGAACCGCTGATCCAGTCGGGCCAGTAGAAAATGTTCTCAGCGCGGAACCCTGATTCATGAGCGTCAAAAGTGGTGGATCTGTTCAGCAAAAGATTTGACTGTGTCGTCACTGCATATCAAACCACTAATAATCCTACGAAACAATATAACTAAAGCAATCTCCACTGTACAGAGCGAGAGCGCTTATCTTCTGTTAAACTGAACAGTCGCATTATTGATGACGTAAGCGTACTCTGGTTCGGAAGGCAAAAAGTGCTTTGTTAGTGTGGGCTGAGGCTGAGAAGCGAGGGGGGACAATTGCGCCTGTGGATGGTTCAAGACAACCTAGTGCCTAGTGTGAATACAAGAGTGTGTATATGAGTTACTTAAAGTGGAACCAAGGACCAAGCTCTGTCTTTGCTGTCCTTATAGAGTTATCCCTTGCTACACGTTACTAGAATGATCTCTTGTTATGTATTCTTCTATGAGCTGCTTTAACCTGCATTTGCCCTTTCTTAGGCCTGTTCAAACCTTTTTGTAGGCTTCCAGGTCCCCAGTCTTAAACACCATGTCCTGTATTCTGAGCAGAGTCCTAATCTTAAAGTTTTAGATTGGAGAACATAGACAGCAGATGTTTATCCTGCTTAGGCCTACATCATGGCCAGCTCCCAGGACAAGTTACAACTGTGATAGAAGATGCACAATGTTCTAGTGCAAAGCTTGAGCAACTGGATTCTTCTTGATCTCTTACTTAACATTCTAGCTTTTATCCTGATCTGCATGTACATCAATTATAAGACATATTTGTATTCTAAACAATGGTTTATCATTATTTTCAGATGCATTTTTTTTTATACTTGAGTGAAAGTAATTTTTTTATTATTGTTTTTTTTTTTGCTTACATAGACTTTCGGTGAAGCTTACACGGAAATGCAAATGATTTGACTGGAGGGAGGTTGTTATGAAACTTATGCGCTATAAATGTGCCCCCTGTGCTCTGTCTAATAGCTTTGGTTCATTGTACAGAGAAAGGTAAGAGCATTGGATGAAAGTCTAAGATTTCCTTGATGCAGATTTAGTCTTTGATTTATTCTGTTAAAGTGTTTCATTTACAATCCATTGAGATTTTCACATGTAATTCATTCATGCATATTCATTTCCAGTTGCACTCTTCAGTATTTAAAGGCTGGGACTGAAATCTCTCCCTTGTTTCAAACAGGAAAGCTTCAGTGAATGGTTTTAAATGGACATCCGGATCAACATCAGCCACAATGGAATCTGGGACAAACCTTTCCTTTGTTATGAGTTTAGTAACAGGTCTTGTCAGAAGTTTGTTTATCCTTTGGAAACACGAATTTTTCTCTACATTCTTTTTAGTGCCTCTTCAATAATCACAATCATAGGAAACCTGCTGGTGATCATAACAGTCGTTCATTTCAGGCAGCTTCACACGCCGACTAACTACCTCATCTTGTCTCTGGCTGTGGCCGATCTGCTTGTCGGAGGAGTTGTGATGCCTCCCAGCATGCTGCGCTCCATCGAGACCTGCTGGTATCTGGGAGATTTGTTCTGTAAGATCCACAGCAGTCTTGATGTCACATTGTGCACCGCTTCAATTCTAAACCTCTGCATCATTTCTTTAGACAGATATTACGCCATATGTCACCCGTTCCAATATCACAGTAAAATGACGTCGCTTGCCACATTGGTTATGATTATCATCTGCTGGACTGTTTCGGCTGTTCTGGGCTTTGGCATGATCTTCATGGAGCTGAATATTCTCGGTGTTGAAGATTTTTACTATGAAAATGTTGATTGTAATGGAAGATGCCTTGTGTTTCAGAGCAGAGAGGTAGCTGTCTTTATGTCATTGGCCTGTTTTTATATTCCTGCATTTGTCATGCTCTGTGTGTATCTTAAAATCTTACATGAAGCTCAGCGGCAGGTTCAGGCCATCCAGAGTGTGAATTCTGAACTGAAGAAAGAGGGAAAAGCCACTAAGACTTTAGCCATCATCGTGGGAGTCTTTCTGACATTCTGGATTCCCTTTTTCCTCTGTAATCTCATTGATCCCTTTATTGGCTACTCTGTTCCTCCACTTCTCTTTGACTTGTTCCTGTGGGTTGGATATTATAATTCCACCTGTAATCCAATAGTGTACGCCTTCTTTTACAGCTGGTTCAGACATGCTTTCAGAGTCATTCTTTCTGGAGGAATATTTCAAAGCAATTCCTCAAGAACAATACTGTTGTAAATGTAATCTCAAAGTCAGATGTCTTTGTTGAAACATTACACACATTGCTTTAATGTTATATTGCTTTTTTATGTTGCCTAATGTGGCCTCATTATTGTATTTTTTATTTATGCTGCAAAACTGACTCCACAAGATACAAATAAATTCCATCTACTGTGTATTTTAATCATCACTTGAATCAGATCTGGCCCACACCACAACCCCAACCATAATTAATCTGAGTTTATAACTATATATATTTTTTTCATTGAAAAATATCTCTAGAACTTTTTAGAAAAATATATCTAAAGCTTTCTGTTTTCAGAGAATGTTTAATAACTCTTTATCATTTTTTTTATTAACATTGTACAATTTCTATATTTTTAACATTATAAAAATTGAGCACTATTAAACTTTTGGTAAAGCACAAACCGTCTAGTCACAGTGTGAAAAATACTACACTGAAAAACATGGTACACATGATATGACTTGTTCCACAGTGTGTTGTTAAGGTGATAATAGTATTAAATTCACAAACTAGCACAATTCAAACCTATTTATAAATACTTTTTTTAATTATTTTCAGGCTGTTGTTGAAATGAACAGCAATTCTGCAAAAAAAGGTTATGTAAATGCCTCTGAATCTATAAACCAATGTCAACAAGTTACACTTACTGTAAATGTCAGTGCAGTAAGACAAAGTACAATTTATTTATTTATTTATTTTACTTACGGACCCTTTTCACAAGACTCTTTTCTGACGTGTTTAACAGTCATCAGCATATTAAATGCTTACATTTCAAAACGTATGAACATTTATATGTATTTATGCATGTATTATATCATCCTTGCATCAAATGACAACTAATTTCCGCTTGTGCAATTGCAATGGGCAGGACATTAAATGTGTCGTTATTCTCTCTTCTGGCTAAAGTTAACACTCTTTTCCTTTCCTTGAAAGTCTTGATAACACCATCAGGGAGTTTTTTCTTTTATTATTTCAGCAAATAGGATTGTAAAAAAAATATTTGTTGTACTCTCCCATTCACTGCACTCTAACTTTACCCATCTACTGTATGAGGATTTCCGCTACTGAGAAACCCAGAAATGTGAAAAGGTCTGTTCTGTAGTGTGTTGAAACAATTCTTAGAGCCAAATTTACTAAATGGCAAATTATGCAAGAATGCAACACAATGAAAGCTCAGTTTGGTTTTGAAGGTATTGTGAGAAAATGAGAAAATTAAAAGCATGCACATTTCCATTATGCCTAATGCAGTAACCTAACCAGCAAACATGCTTGTGCAGGGCCAATGCTGGCTTTTTGCAGGCACACACCAGATCTAATCGGAACCAGTGCAGGCTAGCCCAGGTGTGGCCCAAAATTGTGGATTCACTGTAGGCTCTGTGTGAGTAGTTTATGCAAGCAGACAGCCTACGGCACATGTGTCAAAGCCAGTTCTTGGAGGACCGCAGCTTTGCACAGTTTAGTTCCAACCATGCTTCAACACACTTATCTGTAGGTTTCAAACAAGCCTGAAGGACTCAATTAGTTTGATCGGGTGTGATTAATTAGGGTTGAACCTAATTGTGCAATGGTGCGGCCTTCCAGGAACTTTTACACTTTGAGTTTTACACCTGTGGCCTATAGTAGTTCCATAAAGGCCCGTTCTGGGCACAGAGAATACTGCGAACACAGAGCCAATGAGAGTTTGCTCAATGGTAAAACATCAACCTATTAGTGCAGGCTCGGCATATGCAGTACTCATCTACTGTAGCCCCCAGGAGGCCCACACTGGCTTAGGACAGGCAAGCCCACTTTAAATTTTGAGGATTGAAAATTGAAAGACTAGAAATTATCCCCTTCCCTGATTTGTGTGCATGACAGACTTGTATGACTAAATGTCCCCACAATTATAGCAATAGCAGTAAATGTTGACCTTTTTTTGGTCCCCTTGAGGAAAACGGCTCATAAATCACACAAAATAGGGTATTTTGAAAAGTTAACAATGCAGAATGTTTCTTGCGAGGGTAGAAGCTATGTATAAGCATGATCATTATGTCTGTGGCCAGTCCCCACACTCAAAAAATGACTTTTGTTGCTTATAACTACTTATAACTACTACTAAATAACTACTTATTTAAAATGAGGTAAAACGACACAATTCGGGACAACTTAATTGTTTATTCAACTTATTTTTTTTTAACTTAAGTTAACATAATCAAAATGAGTTGGGACAACATGAAGGAATTGTGCACTCTCAGAAATAAAGGTACACAAGCTGTCACTGTACCTTTTCAAAATGTACACATTTGTACTTAAAGGGTCCATACTGGTACCTCAAACGTATATATTTGTACCTAAAAGTTTTAAGAGGAACACTTTTGTACTTTTAAGCGCCAATATGGACCTTTTAGGTACAAATTTATATCTTTTGAAAAGGTACCACCCCTGTGACAGCTTACGTAGCTTTATTTCTGAGAGTGTGTAGAACCCAGCATATATATATATATATATATATATATATATATATATATATATATATATTTTTTTTTTTTACTGTGCATTAACATAACTGTGTGTGTGTGTGTGTGTATACAGTTGAAACATAATCTGTTTTAGGTAACAAGGGCTCATGCTTTTTTGTTTTATTTTTGTTTTATTTTTTGCCTTTTAGCCCCTACTGGTGGATGCTGTAACTGCACTGTAACTGTAATCTGGCAGCAAAATGCCTTTTTTTTCTCTGTTATCTTCTTTTCAGAGTGCTCTATAATTGTGCAGTCTCTTTTAAAGCTGCATTTGTACTTTAAAACAGACAATATAATTCTAAAATTTAAGAATGTGTGTGTATTTTTATTATGTATTGCAGGACTACAATTCATTCTTGTGCTTGCTCTATAGACTGTTTTAACTGGGTGGCCATTGTTACACTTTTAAATACAGTGGAAGAGGTATTATATATTTAAATAGATATAACAAATCAATTAGTGATTCAGGAGGATTTTGGAAGGTCGGTTTGTTGAAAAAGTAACACATGGATTTAATAAATAAAAGCAGAATGAAACACTGAATGCATTCTTCAATTAGAGCATGCTTTTATTTTACTGAATAATACTGTGATATTGTTTGTTTTATAGATTTAAGGATGGGAAATGTTTGGAAAATGCTGCATATGTATCAAAAATGGGTTTACAGCCAATGCAGTATGATAGTGCAGGCCTTCATTGATACTCAGTTGATATTCAACCAAACCCTACCATATTTTTTGCTTCTCACATATCATTGATTTAGAGACACACATGTTTGATCCTCAAGAAGCATTTAATTACCGACATAATTCAGAAAAGGCAATACAAATGAATATGATAAAAGCATAACGTAATTATGGACAACAAAGCAGAAAATAGGAATGTGGTTTATAAAAGAAATTGAATTAGTGCAAGCTTGTTCTACATGTTAAAAAACATATATGAATATTAAATATAATTATATGATAAGGATTACTGTGTTTTAACGTTACCTGTTGCTGCATCATATTTAAGATGTGTTTCAGTACATTATTCGCAAAACATAAATGACACACAAAATGTCTTAATTGATCTGAATTTGTTTATTAGCATTTGAGAATTTTTAACGTTGAGGGGTTTGTCTTATGCTTCAGTTGTTATGTATAAGCTGTATGACTTATTATTTTAATTAGTATTGATTGTGTTGAGCACTTTGGACAACGTTGCATTGTAAAAAAAATCTGCTATATCAATAAACTAACTTACTATCTGGATATAGTATACTATATACTATGCAAACATGTACTATGCAGTGCATATCACCTGAAGTTTTCAAGTGGGAATTTTAAATGTGGTGAGGTGTTAAAAGCATTTAATAAATCAAAGCTTGACATGGATTATCGATCATTTTGAAGAACGTAAACAATGACTGGTCCCAATGTATTTCCTGTTTTACATGTTTTCATTTTCATAGCTCCTGAGAATAAGGTCCACATGTTGATAAATAATGTTATGATAGCTGTTTTAATATCGAGCTATGATTGAATTCCCACTTTTTTTACTGTTATGAAATAGTTAGACAGCCAGCTGAAAATGTTCATGGGTCAGTGACATCACCACATTGAAATGGTCTGTAACGAATTATAGTTATTCCTATGTAAAATCTACTAAAACATTTCACATGTACAAACACAAGGGAAGGAATTAAGCAGAGAGCAGATTGGCCTACAGATTTAGCACAATTTATACAATTTCTCCAACAAAAGTTTGGATTTATCTCTGAACCAGCTGTAAAAAAAGGCATAAACCAAGGGGTTGAACACTGCGTTCAGATAAGCCACCCACATCAGAACCTCATACAGCAGAGCCGGTATTGTATGGTTGACAATAGGATCGATGATGTTGCACATGAAATAAGGCGTCCAACAAGACATGAAAACTCCAATGATGATAGCAAGCGTTTTAGTGGCTTTCAAATCCATTTTAGTAGCTGATAATGAGCTTGCGGCGCTATTTATAACACGGACATGTTTGAGTGCTATAATGAAAACCCTGCTGTACAGGCTGACAATTATAAACATGGGGAGGAAATAAAACACAAGCGAATACGTTACTCCGATTTCTCGGCCGTGCAATGCTAAACATCCTCCTTTACAAGCAACATGCAACTCCTCGGTTCTTTTTTTTTCGATTTTCAGCTCTGAGAATATAATACCGAAGCCGAAAAAGGCAGAGAAACTCCAGCTGATCAGGATCATGAATACGCTCACACGTGTGGTCATTCTGCTCTGATAGTGAAACGGTTGGCAAACTGCATAATATCGGTCGATCGAGATGAACACGAGGTGTAAAACAGATGCATTGCACAGTGTAAAGTCAGTAGCAGAGTGAAACTTGCAGAAAAAGTCACCAAAGTACCAGCACGTTTCCAAAGAGCGCAACATACTCGGGGGCATGACAAAACTGCCCAGAAGCAGATCCGATACGGCCATTGAGAGGATCAGGTAGTTGGTGGGTGTGTGGAGCTGCTGGAAAAAGGAGATGGTGCAGATGACCCACAGGTTACCAAACACTATCAGAATGATAGCAATAATAAAGAGGAGGTATAGAGGAGCACGGAACACCGGAGAATAGACTGTCTTAACGCAGGAGTCATTTATGGATTCAAAACAGAGGCTGAACGTCTCTGCAGACCACTGATGACTCTGATTCATCATACAGGCAGTTCAGTACCTAGAACGAGACAACAGATTGATTAGGCTTTACATGTAAACATTACATTCTGAGATTCGGAGATTAGGTCGAATTAAACATCACATATTTAAAATAATATTTGCAATTTCGTCGTATTTAAAACCAATCTTATGTTTCAATTAATGCTTGTTGTAAATATGTGTTTGTTTCTTACCACAGGAAGCCTCCCTGCATCCTAAAGAGATGATGGTGGATGTGTACTTTCTAGCCTTTTGAATACTTCAACTCCATGAGGAACTTTCTGTAAACCAATGAAAATGGCTTGGTGGTGTCTTGTGAGTACATGACGTTTCTGATTTGCTTTCAACTCTCAAGATGTTTAAGGGTGAACTTTGTGTGTTTACGGTATCTGATGGTCAGTTTGGCTGGTCAGCACTGTCCATTGCCTGCTGGTAGATGATTTCAGTATGTCTTATGATTTTCTGTTGATGTTTGCTTTGGGATTTTTTCCTTCTTCCAGATTTCATTGGACATATTGTATTACATTCTTTTATTATAGGCTGTTAAACGTATAAAAAGTGCTTTATACTGCATATCTGAAGAATTAATTTGTTAATATATCATGTTGTTTACAGTGCATCCGGAAAGTATTCATAGCACTTCACTTTTTCCACATTTGTTTATGTTACAGCCTTATTCCAAGATGGATTAAATTCATTTTATTTTCTCAAAATTCTACACACAATACTCCATAATGACAATGGGATAAAATAGTTTTTGAAATTGTTGCACATTTATTAAAAATAAAAAACTGAAAAATTACATGTACAGAAGTATTCAAAGCCTTTGCTCAATACTTTGTTGATTCACCTTTGCCAGCGATTACAGCCTCAAATCTTTTTGAATATGATGCCACAAGCTTGACACAACTGTCTTTGGGAATTTTTGCCCATTCCTCTTTGCAGTAACTCTTAAGCTCAATCAGGTTGGATGGGAAGTGACAGTGTACAGCCATTTTCAGATATCTCCAGAGATGTTCAATAGGATTTAGGTCTGGGCTCTAGCTGGGCCACTCAGACATTCACAGAGTTGTTGTGAAGCCACTCCATTGATATTTCCTACTTCCTGCAGGAAGATGAACCGTCGTCCTAGTCTGAGGTCAAAGGAACTCTGAAGCAGGTTTTCATTCAGGATGTCTCTGTACATTGCTGCTTTAATCTTTCCCTCTATCTTGACTAGTCTTCCAGTTCCTGCTGCTGAAAAACATCCCCACAACATGATGATGGGTGGTGTTAGCCTGGTGATGAGCGGTGCCTGGTTTTCTCTAAACGTAACGCCTTTACTCCAAAGAGTTCAATTTTAGTCTCATCAGAGTAGAGAATTTGGTTTCTTATGGTCTGAGAGTCCTTCAGATGCCTTTTGGCAAATTCCAGGCGGGGCGTGGCTTCTGTCTGGCCACTCTACCATACAGACCTGATTGGTGGATTGCTGCACAGATGGTTGTTCTTCTGTAAGGTTCTCCTCTCTCCACAGAAGAATGCTGGAGCTCAGACAGAGTGACCATTGGGTTATTGATCACCTCCTTGACTAAGGCCCTTCTCCCACAAACACTCAGCTTAGATGGCCGGCCAGCTCTAGGAAGAGTCATGGTGGTTCCAAACTTTTCTATTTACGTATGATGAAGGCCACTGTGCTCATTGGAACTTTCAGAGCAGCAAAAATGTTTCTGTAATCTTCCCCAGCCTTGTGCCTCGAGACAATCCTGTCTCAGCGGTCTACAGACAGCTCCTTTGTCTTCATGCTTGGTTTGTGCTTTGACATATACTGTCAACCTTGGGACCCTGTATAGACAGGTGTATGCCTTTTCAAATCATATCCAATCAACTGAATTGACCACAGGTGAACTCCAATGAAGATTCTGATCATCTCAAGAATGATCTGTGGAAACAGAATGTACCTGAGCTCAATTTAGAGCTTCATGGCAAAGACGGAATACTGATGTACATGTGATTTTTCAGGTTTTTTAATTTTTAATAAATTTTCAACAATTTCAAAAAACATTTTTTTTCACATTGTCATTATGGAGAATTGTGCGTAGAATTTTAAGGGAAAAAACTGATTTTTATTCATTTTGGAATTAGGCTATAACATAAAAAAGTTGAATAATTAAAGCGCTATCAATACTTTCCAGATGCACTATAAACTTTGCTCATCCACTTCATGAATTGGAATGCACTTTAAAATGACCACAGGTATTCACCTCTAGGGGAAGTGCTTGGGGAGGGCAGTTTAAAAGTGTGTGTGTGTGTGTGTGTGTGTGTGTGTGTGTGTGTGTTGTGTGTGTTGTGTGTGTGTGTGTGTGTGTGTGTGTGTGTGTGTGTGTGTGTGTGTGTGTGTGTGTGTGTGTCTAAAAGCAAAGTGGAACAAAGCCAAAGATTTTGACTTTAGGCCTTGTCTAATGAGACTGTCAAAGGAGAAATTGGATAAAGAAACTTTTTTTGTTTTTGTTATAAATGTCTGACTAGAATTTAATTTTTAAAGATTAGTTTTAAGAAAGTAATTCATTGGAGGAAACATTATTATTATTATTATTTTATATATATATTTTAGCTGCTCTATAAGGTGACATTTTTACTTTTCTGTTGCATAACACTATTTTATATAAATAGAAGGTTGCAAATTGATTGATTAAAACATTTTTTTTAATTTGTACATTTCATTTTAACACTTTTTACATTTTTATTGACCTTTTACAATGCAGCATCTTATACACATAAATGATGTGTTTTCTTGGAGACAGGAGTTTCTGCATTGCTTTATTTCTAACATGCAGCTGTTTGCTCTGGATGTCAACATTAGCTAGAAATGCAAACACAAGAGTTGGTTGCTATTATTACATGACTCATAGATAAATAAGTATAGACGGATTGGTTAGACTTTGTCCCTTTTGGTGTATTTAAAGCAGGTGAAATTAATTAATACCTGTTTTATTTCCTAACAGAAGTCGGACAGACCAGTTGAGCTTTTTCTGTAGGACGAGAGTGTATTTTATGGAAAAGGCTGCTACTTGGAGAGAGAGAAAAATATTTATAGTAGCTCTTTTCTTTGGAATTCCTTAAAAGGAATATGTAGGAAAATTCATTTCTCCCTTGGGAGACGGTCTGTTTTATGGGTTGCTGCTAATTTAAACCACAGCTTTGTTTACAGCTGTTTTACAATGTGGATATACAGTGGACAGCAGAAGTGAACAAACTAAATCCAGCCCATCTGCTAATTTCTTGTCATGAGATTTGCTCAGATTCATCTTCAGAACATATTAAATGGACTACCAAATGGATCTCTGTTATGAGGCGATGAATGGATCCTGTTGGAAATACGTACGACCGCATGCCATCCACGTTCCGATGCTCATCGCTATTATGTTGATCATCTCAATGACCTTCATTGGGAATCTACTGGTCATCATCTCCATTGGACATTTCAGGCAACTCCACACACCAACAAACCAGCTGATTCTGTCTCTCGCCCTGTGTGACTTTCTGATTGGGTTGTTTGTGATGCCTCTGAGTGCTGTTCGCTCCATGCAGGGCTGTTGGTACTTTGGCGAATTCCTTTGTAAGTTACACACATGCATTGACATCACTCTCAGCACCTCTTCCATTTTCCATCTTGTGAGTGTGTCTGCTGAGCGCTTTTGTGCTGTGTGTGGACCGTTAAGGTATCGTTCCTGTTTTGGATTGTCAACGGTGCTGTTGATGATCTCCATCAGCTGGTTGATCCCTGGAATATTCGCTTACGTGATGACTTTCCTGGAGATCAACATCCACGGAGGCAAAGACTTCTACGATGCTCATGTACGCTGTGTGGGAGGATGCCATGTGTTTTTTAGTCACGGTCCGGCAGTGTTCACCTCTGTGTTTTCCTTCTACATCCCTGGCTTCATCATTGTTGTCATCTATTCTCGAATCTACATGGTCGCCCGAAACCAGGAGAGATCTATTCGTCTTCAGTTAAACCAGTTGAGGCGGGTTTATCCATCAAGAGATGTGCAGCTTCAGACACGCAAGGCAACTGTCACCATTGCTATTGTGGTTGGAGCTTTCCTGGTTTGCTGGACTCCCTTTTTTCTGTGTAATATCCTCAATCCTTTTATTGGCTACGCGACACCGCCAATGCTGATTGATGTGCTTATGTGGTTTGGCTATGCTAATTCCACGTTAAATCCTTTTATTTACGCATTCATGCATTCCTGGTGTCGAAAAGCGGTAAGGATTATCGTAACTGGAGAAATATTTAAAAACAACAGCAGCAGAAAAGACTTGTACACTTAAATAAGGGTATATTTACACTATACATTTTTTTTTCTTTGTGTACGTCTGTGTTAAGTTTTGCGGACTATTTGTGGACCCAGGCAAATTATGTGCGACCGTTTTGTGGACACTGTCAAAGTGATCCCTTTTCTGAAGCGTCCATTAAAATGACTAAAGGTGCTATATCATGTCCGGCCAGTAGTTGGCGGTGTACTTTTGGATTAATAGAGGAGAATGCAATATGTACTAATGTTTAAATGTTCAATATGTGCATAGCTAGGGATGCTCATATTAAACATTTAACTATTAGCTGAAAGGATTCATCTTTGACTGATTAATAGTCCCTAAAAAAGATCCAACACAGGCTCATTCTGAAAACGTAGCCCTACAGATGTTTCTGGAGACCATGAATTATGTAGCCAGAGGTACGTATGGCTGCATTTAATTTTTTTTTAAATGAACGCTACGGCGCGGTGTGACGCCGTTCCTTTTCGCGCTTCCCAGCTGATCCAGCTGCAACAGTTTGTCCCATTAGCGCGTCATGTACGTCGGTGGACTTGAGATGCAGATCACGTTGAGGGGGTTCGAGTCTGGTGAAGAGTGGTTCCCGAAAGCAGGTAAGACTAAAACAGAATCCAGAAAATAAAATAAACAAGTAAACAGCGGGGTGAGAATGTGGTTAAATCTGAAAATGTGTTTAAAAAAAATTAGACAAGGGCTTTTATGATTTTGGATTGCTTTTGAAATGTGTTGTTTGGGTTTAGGGAAGTGGGTGGGCAGGTCAGTCGATAACATTGGATGAGTTTAGGGAGTGGGGGGGGATGGGGAGTTAGTTGATTGTTCACTCAGTCAGTCAAAAAGCCTGTCAACAAATCAGTCGACAGCGATATCTGGTGGGTTTACACGAGAACAGCAGGCGCGAATGGCACTCGTGAGGGGAATTTGAGATCTCAAAAAGTGTACACAGCGGCCTCTCGTGGATTCACGAAAACAAAAACTGCAGAAAAACGTGCCGCCGGGACATCTGTAGAGGAGAAGTCTGTAGAGGTATGTTTTCAGAATGAGCCTGGGTTGAAAAGATCCATATTATAAAATAGCCTACATAATATACAAATCAAACAAATCCAATGATGGACTCCAAGTTGTTTGCACATATTAAAAATGCAATATTTAAAGGTCCAGTAGGTGATCTACCAAAATTCTAAAACATGAACGCTCACCTTAAAGATGGCAGCAGACAACCCACTAGTTCCTGTGATTCGCCAGTTAGAGAACTTTACAGTACTTTATAATATTACAATTCCAAATGAAAATCTGCAGGAATTACCTACAGTTGAAGTCAGAATTATTAGCCCCCCTGAATTATTAGTCCGCTTGTTTATTTTTTCTCCGATTGTTTAATGGAGATCAGATTTTTTCAACACATTTCTAAACAATAATTTTATAACTCATTTCTAATCACTAATTTATTTTATCTTTGCCATGATGACAGAACATAATATTTTACTTGATATTTTTAAAAGACACTTCTATACAGCTTAAAGTGACATTTAAAGGCTTAATTAGGTCAATTAGATTAACTAGGCAGGTTAAGGTAATTAGGCAAGTTATTGTATAATGATGGTTTGTTCTGTAGACAGTCGAGAAAAAATATAGCTTAAAGGGGCTAATAATTTTTTCCCTACAATGGTGGTTAAAATTAAAAACTGCTTTTATTCTAGCTGAAATAAAACAAAATGGACTTTCTCCAGAAGAAAAAATATTATCAGACATACTGTGAAAAATTCCTTGCTCTTTTATACATCGTTTGGAAAATATTTAAAAAAAGAAGAAAAAAATTCAAAGGGGGCTAATAATTCTGACTTCAGCTTTATATTACTAAGTAGGGCTGGGTGATATGGGCAAAAAAAAAAAAAATCATATTTCTGTATTTTTAGGAGGAGAGACGTCATACGATTTATATCTAGTATCTTCCCATAAATTGTTACGCGAGAGTTAAAGCCTTTATTAAAACTTTTTAAAACATTTTTTTGAGCAAAATATAATTCAAACACAGGGGTTTTCCTCCCTATTTACAAATAAACAGCTGCATAAAAAAACGACAGCTGCACAAACTCTCTGATAAATAAAACTAAGTTGCACGACATTTATATTAAAAAACAAATCTTTGATAAATTAATACAGTACAGGTTTTTTTTTTCCTGCTTAATGCTATAGACAGCACTACTGTGCTGTTGTGCAAAAAAAGTAAACAGAAGCATAGAAAACAGCTACATTGTCAGATCAAAAAAGGAACACACTTAAATAGTAACACAACAAAAAGTATTGTAGGATAGAAAAGAAGCACATTGAATGTAAATATAAAAACACGCAGTATTTTATGTCACAATTACAGTGTTTTTATAAGTAATCCTGTGTACTGAGTTGTGTGATTTATAAACGACAATTAAATCAGCTGTGTTTGTTTTGTTTTAGTTACACATTTGCATGTATGTATTGTGACATAAGTCTTTCACTGCATGTAAAAAATCCTACACTTTGTCTTTTGTTTTGTTTTGACTAAACTTGTTTTACTAAATATTAAATAAAAAGATATGTGTGTGTGGATGTTTCCCAGAGATGGGTTGTGGCTGGAAGGGCATCCGCTGCGTAAAAACTTGTTGGATAAGTTGGAGGTTCATTCCGCTGTGGCGACCCCGGATTAATAAAGGGACTAAGCCGACAAGAAAATGAATGAATGAAGGAATGAATAACTAAGAAGATGAAAACAAATAGACTATAGATATAAAAAGTAATGAAATTGTTTCAGGGTACTGTGATGAAATGCTGGTTAAAGAAATACTGAATGGCTTCTATGTTTGTTCTTGCTGTCATTTGTGGAAGAAATGATCATTAAAAGCTTTCTGATAAACCGCTGTGATGGCTGCAGGCGCTGTGTGACGTTCGTACACACAAAGGGTGGTCAGATTTTTCCATGGAGTCAGATTTCGCTACAACACTGGCACTGCAAGTTTCTCCATGTTGCGTCAGTGATGGGTCGTTCTTGAACGATTTATTCATTTTGCACAAATCTCTTGTATGACTCATGGAGTAAATCATTCATTTTTGCAAGTTGAGCTTGCGTGCAACCTTGGAGTGGTCTGCATATTGATATGAAAGATGGATAATACCGCATCGCGTTGGGGAATCATATCGATATATTCCCAGAACTTGATATAGTTCTATTACTAAGCCATACTTGCATGCTATTTCAGACCGAATATTCAGAGTAACAGAGCAAACAATGTAGGGAGTGCGTCACAGGTTGTCAATGTTCAAAAATTAACCAATGTGAATATAAAACTAACTTCTCCTGAGTAAAGAAGGCTAGGCAGTATAGCGCTATTTACTTACTAAATCTACATTATCGATGCTGTAAGGTCGCGTATAAAACTGAAAATAGTCACATCAATCGTTTACCGGACTATTTTAGTGGCTAAACAACACCTTTGTGCATATAACCCATTCATAACAACACAATCTACATCATTCCCTGTCTAAAAAAATACTTAAGCCATGCTGTCATCCTTCCTCCATCATGCAAAAGTAACTTCAATATTGAGTCAGCATTTTAAAAAGTTTTGAGTCAGCATTTTATTTTACTGTTGCATCTTGTGTGCGCATAAACGCACGGCGCGCATGCACGTGCCAATGGCGGATCTGCATGAACAAAGATTACGTGAACGTTGTACAAATCTACATTTGCTGACAGACAGTTTGGGATACTATTGGAATGTGAAGGGACTTTCAACCAGCACAAAAAAAAAAAAAAAAAAAAAAAAGCTGATGACAATCAGAAAGGTGCCTACTGCACCTTTATTGTGTATAATATTTAAACACTCGTCAATTCATTTTTTTATTAAATGATAATTTAATCAGATCAGTTAGAGGTTAATATTCAGTTAACAGGTTGGGAAAATTTCACTGGTTCACCTTTGGTAGAGTTTTTGAAAACTTTGAAATTCATTTTCATGATTGTGTGTTTTTGGCCTTTAAAATGTTTTAAATACTAAATAATCTGCCGTTTTTGATTAAAAATGCTGTTGTGTAAACACTAAAGGCATGGTCACAAAGGACTTTTCGCCCCATTGACTTCTATTCATACACTTGTGAATACACTAGACCAGTAGGCGTTCTGAAGTTCGAGCTTGGTAAACTCTGACCTGCCAATTTGCATCCCGTTAATTCATGAGATCACAGAAGAGAGGTGACCTCTTTATACAGAAATGTCAGTTATGGAATAAACACTCATTTATCAGTGTTGCATCATCTTATTTTATTCTGCACCTTTTCACAGCACCGTATGACAGAGTTTTGCATGCTCAAACTCTAGAATGGGGGTGCCCAAACTTTTTCTTATAAAGGGGCAAAAACCAAACTTGATAGAGGGCTGTGGGATGAAGTTGTATATACCAAGCTGTGTTTCATTAAATATGCCATGGGTAATTTCCAAATTCATTAGCTAATATTTAAAAAAAGCTAGAAAATGTTGCTTTAAAGCATATTGATCACTGATGCAGTATCACTTATCATAGTAAAAACATAAACCGTTCCATTTATAACACAATGGAGGTCGAGCTGTTCCTGTCTTTGCCTGGATTTGCTTGCCGACGTCTTTTGCATTGTCCTCTATCTGTCAAGTGGCAGTATTTACATTGTAAAAGTCTGATTCATTTACAATTAATCTTAGTTGGCATTTTGTAGCTCCTCAATTAAACAAAGAAACTATGTTAAGTTTGAAACGACGATCTGTCAAAGGCATTTATCCCAATCAACTGCCTTTAATTCTCCTTTTTTTCAGATGGGATGGGGGGCCAAGCCAGAGGTTACCAAGGGCCAACTCTGGCCCGTGAGCATTATTTTGGGGACCTCTGCTCTAGTGTGATATAGTATACTATTAAGAGCCAGTTGGATCAGTTGCTTTGCATCTAATATCTGTATATTTGTGTTTTGTAGCAATTTTTAGGCCTACATTGTTTGTT